CAATTGGGTCACTTCAACTTTGTCAAAGGAAATTTTATTCGTTTGTTAAAAGCCACATGAGAAATGTATTTTTAAATAATGAATCCATTTCGAAATAGGTTTTATCGATTGCAAAAAATATATGTGGAAACGAAAAAGGAATTATTTGTAATTTTTTTTCTAAACCCAGTGTTGGACTAGTGGCTTCGACGTGCGACTTTTACCCTGAGGTTCCAACCCCTGCAATGAACTCTCGGTAAATGTCCGCTAACCTCACTCGCTGTTGGTAAAGTAACATTGGTATGGAAACCAGCATGCCTTTGAGACAAAAAGCCGTGTGTCAGGCACATAAGGCTTCATCCTTAAACCAGGAACCAAGATCAAGATCTTAAAGGTTGTAGCGCGTTTTCTTAGAATTATGTCTTCTATTTTGCGTAATTTAAGAAAAAAGTTTATTATTAAATGTCTCTTGCTTTCTTTGACTTACATTAGCGATAGAGAGATTTTATCTATCGATAATAATCTATATTACGAGGAGTCAAATAAGATTGAAATATTGCAAAATATACAGCATGATATTACGGGGTATAATAATACGGTTGGGAGAGATTTAGAGGCACGATAGAGGCGAGGCGGGCCAATCCCGGAAAATATGAAAATTGGAAATACCTACTTTATTCAGCCAAATAAATTTCGATTTCCATTTGTAGGTTTGATGCAGGTACGCCGCACTTACATTTCAATAAACATTTTGATATCAGAAATTTTCCCAAAATACAATGCATATTATGTTATCAATTAAAGTATCTTTAATTGTTGTAGTGTTAGCTGTATATGACTCCATTTAAATGATAAAAATCTAATGGACATACAGTAAAGAAAACTATCGTAAAGCCTTCATATTTTAGAACCCGACGTACGTCAGGCAGAGAAGGCCTATCATCTATGTTTAAATGAAATTATAAAATAAATATATGCAGAAATATGTACCGCACACATTAAAGATTGCGCCGTTGGATGTAGGAATATGTATATAAATTGTCGTATGCTAACTAAAGCTTCAGAAAAATCTTAAGAAAAATCAGAGAAAAAAAAAGAGAAATGGAAAAATATGGAGGAGACTTTTACCCGAAAAGAGGCAATAAAATACTAGATCACTAAAAAACTTATTCTAACACAACTAATACCTACTCATATTAATAAATCTTAGCTAACCAATTTTTGTGTGGATTCATTAATAAAGCTCTAATAATAATAATAATCTTGTAAGTGTAAAGAACAGGAACAGACACATTTCTGTGACTGATTGTCTTTAATTTTGGCATTTTGAATCAATTATTTTATTACCCAGCTTTGAACTCCACTACTCATCGGACGCATACAAATCTCTTGATTAAATACTTAGCGAAATTAACATACGTATATTTTATTGTAACGTCGGAAAAGTATCAGGCAGTTTTCAGTTGGAGATTTCCCTTTCCCAAAGTTTAATATGTTTCCAAAGCTATTCCGCCTGACGCATTTTGCAATTAGACCTTCCGATACATTTGCGTTTCATTCTGTTTTGCTTAATTGTTTCGACGTATATTTTCTACTAAATGAGCACAGTTTAATTTACTATGATTTTCTCCTTCCATTTGACTTGATATTGAAAGGTGCTTCATGCATTATTCAATATATTTTGTCTATAGTTTAGATTAAGTTATTATCACCGATTTTAACTAAGATGAAAAATATAACATATTTATAGTTTAAACTAGCTTAGAAAATTTTCATAAAAAGAGTTTATTTGCGCGAGTAACATTAACAGAATTTTTAATGCGTTTAATTAGAAAGAAAAAAAAAGGGTCCGTGTACTTATGTACGCGCGTAAGAAGTTATACTTCTTTGGCAATATTAAAAATAGTTTGGCTTTGTTCCACCTCCAGTTTTTGATGTTTCACAGCGATAAGATGAAAACTCTTTTTTTGTATTCAATTTAGTGCAGTTACACTAATTCATCAATTGTTTTTTGTCTCTTTTCCTTATATTTGCTAGATAAAATCAGAAAAATTACATGTTTTGATTAAATAATGTGGTTAATTTTTTAATCAAAACATTACTCGATAATAATAATAATACATACGGATAGTTAACCTCAATTGTATTGAAGCACTTAGGAAGGTTGATGAGCACAGTTTTTTCACAAATATTAATTAGTATTGGTTTAAATATTCAATTTAAATCACTTCTGAATCTAATTCAAAAAGCATCGCTAAATTTCTTTGAAAAAATAATTAAAACTCCTTTATTTGTTTAAAAGGTAAATGACAAATGTCATTATGGTCATTCAAAATTGTTGGCATACGAACTTCACGCATATTCTATTTCTTTTTACTTGTAGATTGTCTTATTCCTATCTCGCTCGCGCACGCTATAATCACACTCCTAATTTTGTGTCACGGGTGCGCGCGCATTGTAAAATTTCACTCTCATAAATTTTTCATAACGCGCCTAAAGAAGTATAACTTCAAAAAACTTTATCACACATAATAAAAAGAATATATTTTAAAAGAGAAAGTGCTCTAGCCCCCATACCAGGATTGCCCGTGTCTCTTCCATTTAACAAATTAATTATTTTAGGTAGGTTGATGTAATAAATTGTACATAACACAATTTTATAATAAAATTACTGTGGCACAAGAAGAATACTTTTCGTTTGACCATAGGAGAGGTATAGAAGATGTTTGTAAGATTTTTAGTGAATGTATACAGTTTTGAATCGATAGTAAAAATTTTGTTTTTGAGACACTGGTTAAAGATGAAAGGGCCTCTGAAAGACAAAAACGTTGGGCGTTAAAAATTTTCGTTGTATGTGATGTGGTGTGGTCAGTGTTTGTTTTAAAAAAAACATATTACCAACAAGTGTAGTTGACAAACCGTTAGCAGTTTTGTTTCATCGTACAAAAAATACCAAGGGAGGAAGGAGGTAGTCCAATGCGCTGTTTAATGTAGTAAAAGTGTGTCTATTAAAGGTTAAGTAAAAAATATGTTGAGACATATCGTGTCATATCTATGTATATACGTAACAAAACTTCTTCCCATTTACAAGCTTAGAAATTAAATCTACAAACCGAGTATCCGTCAAGGAAAATTAACCGGAGAAAAGAGGTCATCACCTCATTACACGCCCAGAAATTTCCTCCAAGAATTAAGACGCTTAGTATTTTAAAGTTATTTTTCATCAGTTTTCAATACAGATTATTCCAAAACAAACACAACATTCAAAACACAGCGCTTTTTAAGGCACTTTCTGGCCGCGCACCACTTCTTTGTGAAACCAGCGGTCTATAGAGTAGAGTATTTCCGATCTGATACGACTTAGGGGACTTGAAGAAAAGAGTGCCAGTCCCTGAAAGGTCGGCTGCTAGCCCCCGCCGTTGCAGATGTGGCAACCATGGGTGGCAGTTATCATTTTACAGGTTTATCGTTAACATAAATCTTGGGGCAAATAAAATAATAATAAAGTCCCCCTTGAATTGGGGCAGCTACATTTCTGGGTCTCTGTCATTGATATTTTTTTATATAGCAAGTATGAGGACAGCCTTCTATGGCTGACACAATAATACAAAATGTTTTTATAGAATCTTAGGGTAAGCAATGAATCAAGATCTAAATATTATTTATTCATGTAACATTACATTTATTGCTGGTTATCAAATCAAGGGCTTAGAACGGACGAGAAGAACTGGCAATAAACTCTCCGTCACTCTTAAATCGCCCAGGTTTTTTTTACAAAATGTTTGGACTTACAAAAATTACATCTTGCATCTCATCATATTAAACTTATGACTTATGATAATTGAATATATATAAACAAAGCAAACGTTTAACTTCTAACTATAGGAGCAAGTGTTAAGTGGCGACTACGACAGAAAAGAAGAACAATTGGTACCCAGGGTTCGTACACACTACCTTAGGGTTGAGAATCGCTATGTAAGAATGTAATCATATAGATTAAATATGTCTGTTTTATTAGTGAGATAGCAAAAATGCATATTGGAATCAGCAATGCATAAACCGTGACTCGGCAATCTTTTGCGGCAGCTTTTAGAGTATTTTCATCAATATTTTTATAACATTTTTTATTCGAACCAATTTTTCCAATGCCGGTCGGAATTGAAAAGATATTAAATTGATAATTAAGGCCGTAAAAATTGTGCTGTATATGTATATTGTAAATAAAAAATGTTGATTGGGATTTTGTTCACACTATTTGATTTAATATGTTTTTTTCATAAAGTCTAGAAAGACTTTTTGTTCACGTATAGATATTACTCGTGTACTCTTAGATATTTTTTTATAGTAAAAATGTTTGTCTTATTAATAAATATTGCTTTAAGATTTTTTAATATAGTTCTGCTGGGTAGGGTAGTAATAATAATATATTATACATTTACCTTTATTTTATATATTTTTTTTGTATTGTAAACACTTACTGTTACTTACTTTAATTGTAATTATCTAAAATATTTATAAAGGTGACAAATTTGTACTATAAAATATAAACGAAAATGAAATCTTCTTTTTGATCATTTTTTTCTGCCTCGTGATTAGCTACTACTTTTATATATTAATTGTGAGTCAATTAACCTTAAGCTGAGCTTTTACATGTCTGTTTATACATACTATTATTTATATTTTTTCTTTAGATTTTATTTTATTTTTGTCATAGTTGCATGATATTTTTAGTATCTTTTTGTTAATTAATTATGCATTTATGTACTTTACCCTCTGTAGGTGTTTCTTTTTTATTGTTCCTTTTTAGGGTTGCCTGGAAGAAATCGCTTGATAGCGATAAGGCCGCCCATTGCCTTATAACTTATGTAACCTACTTACTTTTTTTTTTATGTATAATTATGTGTATTATGGCAATGAAGTATAAATAAATAAAACGACTAATTAAACAAAAACTATAAAACTTAATCATAGTTTCAGGAATGATTTATTTTAAAAAGATTTAAGATTTTCATTGCTTCAAGTTATTTGAAATAATCGAAATGATTTATTTCCTGATGAAAGTATGACGGCTTATTTATTAACTGCCCTAGGCTTTTTCTAGGGAGGTGTGATCCATCATCTTCAGGCGTTAAGTTTGGGTCTTGAAAATATTTGTTTATTCCTGTATATACATTATTATGATAGTAATTTAGAGGTTGAATAGATTTCTGAAGATTATAACTGTTTGGTGCAATTAGTGGTGGTTTCTGTATATTTATCTGTGGATTAATGATAATATCTTTTGAAGGATGTCTGGCAATGCTTTGATTATACGTTCGATTATCTCTTTTTGACGTTAATAAAGCAGTTACTCTTTGTATATTATGCATACTGAGAGCTTTGAGCTCTGGCATCTTTTTAAAATCATTACCTACAACTACATAGTTTGGTTTATTAGATGCATGTATTGGTTTCTTCATTGGATTATCGTGATTTTGTAATTGATTCTCCGACGGCCAAAGTTTAAAGTTTAGATTATCATTAGTTGACTTATACTTATTAAAGTCTCTTCGGTTTTGTACCATTTTGCTTTGTGCTTTCTCCATAATGTTGACGATGTTTTCTATCTCTTGTAAAGATAGCGTCGGTGCTGTAGATGCAACTATAGACACTTTGTTCTCTATATTAAATAGAACTTCATTGCTTTTCTTTAAGTAGTCATATTTATTTTTATTTGATTTTAAATATTTTAAAGGCGATCTTACGGAGCGTTCCCAAAATGATCTATGCGAGTTATCGTTAATGAAAACATTTTTATCGTTATTTTGTCCCGTCGGCTCTATTTCGATGTCAACCTGGTTTTGTGAATCAACATTACGTATAATAGATGCGATTTGTCTTCCCAGGTTTGTATAATAGGAGTCATCGGAGTGTAGTCTTCTTGTTTCAATAGGTGAATTAAGACCAGGTTTCCTCATTTTATGTGCCTTTCGTGGCTTATAAAATTCTAATTCTTCTTCCCTAGAATTATACTCAATAGGAGGTAGCTCACGCGATTTGTTAAGGTCAATGTGATGAATAAGTTCACTGATGTACTTAAAATCGACATTATCTGCTTTTGCTGCATAGCGTTGTGGGTTTGACTGGATTTCGTTATTCAAGGTTTCGTCATACATGTTGTCTTCTGCAAGGGGTGTTTCAACAATTTCGTCATCATTGGCGTTTTGGGGTCCATAGGGAGCCCTCAACATATCTGGATTGTTTAGCCGTTGGCGTGACTTCTGTAATAACATTTTTTTTTGCTTAAATCCAATACTAGATTAGTCTTGGTCTGCTTTTCGCTAGCTTTGGTCTAATACACAAGGCTGACGTTTAACACAAACAATAAAAAATGTTGTAAGGAATTATTAATATCTAATCATATTCTTTCGTAGGGAAAAAAAATAAATTTTTTTTCTTTATCTATGTAAAAAATTAAAAGAACTTACCATCTTTTGCCGATAAGGATGCTGTGGTTTTCTGTTATTTACACTGAAAAGAAAAATGTTACAACGAGATGTTTAAAATACAAATGATACCAAAGTTTTATAAGAATAATAATTATGGTTAATTATAGTATTCTTACCCCATGAAAGGTCTACTTTGAAAACTTGGCTTTGGTTTTTTTCTTTGTCTATAGTATCCTGCTCTCTCTCTGAAAATGAAATTTTTAATTTTTTTAAATGTATTACAATGTTTTGTTAATATGTACAACAAGCGATAGTAAAGTCCCAACGTAAATCATTAAGAAAAAGGGAAAATTCTCCCGTAAAGTGTTGAATTGATTTTGGCTACTTTGTGTAAATTTTCCCAGATAATAATTTTATATAAATATAATTTTCCCGCGTAACATAATTTTCTTACGGTTTCGCTGGATCTTGTTGTGGTGTAGCTTCTGTTGCTGGCTGGTCTGTTGTTTCTGTTATAGGAGGCTCAGAAGTATCTAATTTAGCTTCAGTTGTTCCGTGATCTGTAGTTTGTGTTGTTGCTTTCTCTATTGTACTCTCTTTCACGGTAGTGATCGTCGGAGCCCTAGTAGGGGATGTGGTAGGACTACTACCTTCTTGTTCTGAAATATATGAGTGCATTGACGAAAAAATTCTTAAAACTTTACTTTGTTAGTAAACAAACTTACCAGGACAAGGAAAGACAGGCATTGGCGGCACAGGTACAAGGGGATACATAGGCATAATAGGTGGAGGTGGAAGTCCAATCGGAGGATAGAATGGAGTATCCATATTTGGCAAGAAAATAAAGGATGGCAACGGCGGCCTTGGTTTCTTATTTATAATAACAATTTTTTTGTGCCCATGCTCTTTGTCGTCTTTGTGTTTGTCTTCTTTATGTTCAATTTCGAAAGATGTGTCACTTTCATCAGAACTACTCGAGTCGCTGGAGTCCGAGTGTCGTTCTTCAGTAGTATCGAAAGCACTATCGTCTTCAGTGATTCGGAGTAATTTACGCCTCAAACTTGATTTCCGGCGCTTTTGTTTTAATTTTTTATTCCTTTTCTGAGATGATCTTCTTAGGTCCATATTTTTAATAGGTGCCCCACCGTTACGTCGAGTGGGAATTGCTTCCTTCGTATTGTTAATTACTTGGTTTTCAATTGTTTTAAAGAATTGATTGTATAACCAGTCACCCAAATCATCGGCAGTTTTTGTTATTTCATCAACTTGGTTCTTAATTGGGTCCATTTTTGTGATTGGCGTGGGTTCAGTTACTCCAATTGTCACGTATTCTGTATCCGTCTGCGTGGGTTCTATATTATAACGTCTTCGATAATTTTGAGTTAGTTTTACGCTGCAATATAAAAATGTATTCAATATATACCAAAAACGTAAATAATTAACAAGTAATCATAAATTATACCTAGGTTCACATATTTTAGTATCTGTATCAAAATAATATCCAGGGTGACAATGACATCCTATGACACATCCGGGAATTTCGTCAATGCAATATTCAAACCTTCCGTGGTCACCACATTCTAGGTAACATGAAAATTAAATCAACTCAAAAACTTACAAATCAAAAATTTTGGAAATGGTTTAACATCTAAGAAGAAATGTTAATTAACTAAAAGAACACTGCAGGGACCAAACTTTTTGTTAACTTTAATTTAATTTTTATTAATGTTTCTTATTACTATGTAGGTTAAGAAAATTGAAAATAGTGAATATTTGATTGTTATGATTACTAATAAATTTAAAATTAACTAAATACCAATTGTGTATTATACTCGTAGAAGTAAAGTTTAATGAATCATTTAATTTGTGTCAAGGCCTTCACCAATTAAATTCTAGCTATATACAATGCCTAAATTTAAATGGCACATTTAACTTTGACAATAGATGAGGTCTATTTATATGTTAAGAATTATTGTGTCATTTGTAAATATTTTCATTAAAATTAAAATGTGTTGTGGCTTTCTGGCCGCGTATATATGCTCCGTAACGGGAAGGGTACTTGTACATATACACGTAATAAAAGAGAAGTACAATACAACGAGAAAGTACACTAGAATTCCCTGTATAGTTGGCAGCTAATCTCTTTTATTTGACATACTTATTATTATACATAGGTACTTAAAGTATTAAATCATGCATAACTATGATTTTACTAATGTTGCACAACACGTATAGTTTTCGTGTGAGCATAATAGACGTTGCTTAAGATTGTTAATGGAAATATAAATCGAGAGTGAAAATGTTTTTTTTTAAGTAGTTAACGATTAAAGACTATTCGAGAAGAATCTTTGGACGAAGAAAGTTACTTAATAAATACAACTCAAACGTCTCTATCAGTCAAATTGTGTTTACGCTGTGGTGAAAACAGGTTACATTAAAAACATTGAGACTGATTGTTCTTTAGGAGTTTTTAAGTATTCGTTAACAATCATGTATATGAGTTCACGTGACATGTTTTTATTAAAACACTTTCCGCCTTCTTCATGAAGCACTCTTTATTGATAAAAACCGAAATCCAAGTTAATTCTATCATTACTTATGTTGTCGTTAATGTTTGTTTGTTGTTGTTAAATCAATGTTGACATTATTAGTTGTTAATTAATTTAACAGAAGTGGCAAAGGAATTTGTTTTATATGTAGACGTATACTTAGTCACACCTACAGAGCAGCTCAGATTTATAATTTTTTTTATCAGTGGGTGTGGAACGTCGCTAACGACATCTCGTACCGACTCCAAGTATTCGCAATTTTGGCAGCAATTAGCCAGCAGATCAAGAGAGGCAAGTGGAAATGGACAGGCCATAGACTCCGAAGAGATTCCACTTATAGCCCCAAGCAGGCCCTTGATTGGAACTCGCAAGGGGAAGCGTGGCTGTCCCAATCAAACCTGGTATCGTACAGTTACAGGCAAAGAGAGCCGGAAAGACTTGGAGCGAGGTGAAATACAAGACTGAAGGCTGAACGCGATGTTAACTCACTGTGGATGTCCTCTATTATACATTAAGTCAAGTAAGTCAACACTTTGTACTTACCATATTGACCTTCACACGTTACACAGCTTAACCACAAAAATAATAAACTAAATCCTTTTTTCTTTGACATTATATGCAAATAACAAATACAAAATAGAATTAAAAATGTTGAATATCGAATACGGCTTGTGAGCCCGTCAACATGGTCGAGTGACGTGCACAATGAAAGTTTTGTTACTTGTTGCAGATTACTAAACAATAGTTTCAGTACAGCTGCAGTAAAAAACAATTTTTCTGAGTGGTTTTGAATGGAAACTACATTTTTTACTATGTCATTTTCAAGTACTACTCACTATAAATAAAACGTATTTTTTGATCTCTTATTTATTTCATTTATTTTTACACATCATCACCCAAGTCTGGTATGCCTTTCAAGCCCCTGAAAAAAATTGATTCCATTATTATTAAAGAACATTTTCCCGTGATACCCAGATTCTATATTAAAAATAGCTGTCATTACTTCGAGCTGAAGATCGATAAACACGCATTTGAGGGATGGAGTCGAAAAACTTAGCAATAGTAATCATTATTGAAATTTCCGACACAGAATCAAAATGTAAGAGTTCGTCTCATAGCTCTTACTATTCTGAGTTAAATCTCGTAATGGTGGTTTAAAAATAGAATATAATTTTACATACAACGGAAATGTACCAATCCTGAACATGTTACGTACTTAGTGCAGTCCTCAGGTAGGACGCATTTGTGAGTTCTATCATCGCGTACATATGGTTGTGTACAGATACATCCAGACTCGCAGAACGGATAGCAGGGCCGGAGTCTTTCTCGTGGGTTGTCACAGGTTATAGCAGCGCAACCAGAAAAACATGCCTCGTATCTGAGTTATTGATATTGGAAAGATATTTTATATGTGTACTAGCAGACCGGCCAAGCGTTGCTGTGGCTAAGGTTTTTGTTATATTACATAGTAGCAAACTATTCAAGGGAAACGGTAGGAGAACACCAGTCATGGGGACCACCATGCTTTTTTGGTGGTTATGCCATTAAATTGTAGCTTATGTGAAACGTTGGTACTTTCAACACAGCGCCATCTGTTAGAATTGTGACTATCAAAAAATAAACAAATATTTTGCAATAAAATAATATTGCGAGTATAAATTGAGATGTAAGCTATCCTATCTTTTAAGTTGGATCAAACTACACACGGTGTGCAAATTTGATTGATATCGGTTCGGTAGTTTAGGAGTCCATAGCGGACAAACAACGTAATTTATATATATTAAGATGATTAGGTTGTGACTGTATAATGTGTTACAACACTAGTTTGGGATAAAAGTAAGTAATAAATGTAAAGTTAACGTTTAAATTGTAAGCTGAAAGAGATTTTTAATATGATCCAATACAATCCATAAAGTAAAATAAAAAGACCGACCTCCTTCTTTTTAAGAAAGAAAATTTACTTGAATTAACCGACTTTTATAATAAATAAATAAATTACTCACCGTTCGTGAGGTCTCTCACAATTCATTGAATATGGCTTCCTCTCTATCTCCTTGTCTCTGTCAACGTGATTTCATTAATATTTTTATGAATTTAAGCTTAAATAGTATTAACAAAAATATATTACGTTTGTAAGTGACCAATTTCAGTACTCCTATATCTTGCTTTATCTGTATCCTCTAATTGTTTACCAATACCATAACCAAAACTATCATATTCCTTTCTGTTTAATCCGGCCTTATCGTCTGTATCATCTAGATATCTAGGACTTTCTTCATATCTTCGCCTTTCATCCCAGTCCTTGTGATCTTGGTCAAATGATTTTAAAAGTGCTTTCTTTCTCCAATTTCGTCTATCGTCTATGAATGAATGTCGTTTACTATTGTCTATGTCGTCGTAATCATAGTTTATTCTATTTGCATCTATAACGTCATCTGTAATTTTAGTCAGGTTAAGTTAAGTTCAATTTGAAATAAATATTTCGTATCGTGGAATCGTTTTTTTTTAAATTAGAACTTACAAAATAAAAGTGCGAGAAATAGCAGCTTCCTCATGTTACTTGCTTATCAGAAACTGGAGCGTATTTGTGATTACTGTAGCTAACTGAAATGTGTTTATTAAAGGAGAAAAACCAACGGAAGTTACCATTATACGGTTTAATGGTACTCTCTTTTTTTCTCAATATCGATTGAGTATACGAACTTCAGTTTTAGACAATAAAATAAACAATGTTTTACGATTTAAAGCTTGTTGATGAGAATGAAATTCAAAGATAATATTCACTATGTATTTTAAAGTAACATTATGTTTAGACATTTTTTATATCGTTTTGGTAGCCAATCGAAATGCGTCTCCCGGTACTAATTTCCTCGGCTGCAATGCCCTGATTGGTGGAGGTGCAATCACGATGTTAAAGTAATTCCCCATCCTGGATACATCAGGTTTTTGCTTCTCATCAGGATGTGGAGCTTCTGTCTCGTTTAATTCCATTTCATCGCCTCTACCTTGTCGTCTTTGGGCTTGAGATCTGCTATATTTCATAGAAGATTTACCAGATCGCCTTGTTGGCACTGGTATACCCATTTGAGTTCTGAAATAAAACAGATTTCTTTCTGTTTAGTTTTTCATATTGACGTCACGCAGCGCGACTATATTGTGGTGGAGGATGATGTGGGACTCCCAACTGTGCAAACCCACTAGAGCAAGCACACGGCCTTGACCGTATACCGCCATGTGATCAGCCGTCGAAGTCACCGCCACTGAATTACTTGAATTATCCCCACATCATTAAAGGCCAATGCCTTTAATGGCATTTAAAGGCATTGGCCTTTAATGATGTGGGGATGATTCAACCCATTTAAAGTGAGATTCAACTACTTTACAGCAAAAGTTGTAACAAAATTTTGTGTGACACTTTGAAAACCGTGTCTACTATACAATATTGCTTCAGTTCACCCATCTGTACTCACGGTGAGCAATCGTGTGGTAGAACACACTGATGCGTACGGTCATCCCTCACGTAAGGCTCTTCGCAGATACAACCAGGCTCGCAGTAAGGGTAGCAGGGTCGTAAGTGGTTTCGAGGGTTGTCACAAGAGATCTCGGCGCATCCACCGAAACAAGGCTCGAATACTTCGTTGGGCCAGTAACAAGCTACGAAAATTAATGTATTAAATGTGAAGTACTAGAAAAAAATATCACTTATATAATAATAAAATACATTGAAATAAATAACTAAACTTAACATAAACTAAAATATATCATTAAAAGGAGTCCCTTTAGGCAAGGTTCCGAAGATACTGGCAGCGTTCCCCCTTTGAATTGCTAGACTAATTCTTTGTCCGAGGTAGCTGCCAGATCTTCGGTCTCCTGTGATGTCGACTAACCTTTTTGAAATTTCTTTAAAAAGCCTTAAAGCGCTAGGACCCCACGGACCAAGGGTCTCGACACCGAATGGGACAAAATCATATTCTGAGCCTAGACCCCTGTACTTGCATGCTTTAATGTGAAGTTATGAATGGTTTGACTTGATGTATCTATTAGGAAGTGATAGGGGTAACTATTTGCGGTAATTTTAACCATACATTATGCAAGTGATTATTATTATTAGCTTTTTCAAAACAAGTCAAAGTAAATTTATTAAAAAAAACTATTTATCACTTATTTATGAACATTATACAACGGTCCAAACTTGGAAATTGTAGACACAACACGACATTATTTTAAAAAAATGCCCTAAAAATCGTTAAAAAGATTATTTTAAAATCTACTTATCTATTCGGTACGAAAAACTTATAAGATAAGCAATAATAATCAAAGGATTCTTAATAGAATTCATTTATATTCTCGGATACTTTAGAAAAACCAATTTACAAAAGCACCTTTACAGCTAATATAAGCATTAACTATTGAGCTGTCCAGATAGGTAGACTGTCACTAAACGAAACGTAGATCAATAAAACCTCATTTACAAACTGACGTTCCATTAAAATAAATATCTATACCATCACATAAATATTCGAAGCAATCAAGGAGCAACAAGCGGCTGATTTAACTTACAAAACATCTTAATAAATTAAGCATCGATTTTGAATAAATTTCTAATCTTTAATACGACTTAGATCTTAATAATATTGTCACAACTCACCTTTCATTATCTTTTCCTCGTCCCTGCAGTGAACACTTAAAAACCCCATAAAAATAATGTACGCCCTCATAATTAATATCTGAAATACTGGATTAAATAAATGTCCTTAATACCTCAGCCATATGAACTAAAATGGCGTTCAAAATTAATAATTAAGACAGCATGATAAGGGTACGTGTTTGGTAAACACGACGAAAGGCTATTTAAGCCGCTTTTGATTGAATTATAGCCTTTGCTACCTGCCTCTAGTGCGGTCACGTTTCGCGAAATTCCGAGATAATGTGAACATAATAAAGTGCCACAAAATTTATAAGGTACACGTGATGTTTACTTGCAACATTATGTTAGAACACTTTCGTTTTAACATTCATCTATTTATTAATATTTTCTGCTTTGGAGTCTATGCTAGCAGTCTATATATATGTGTCTATCAGTGCTAAAATTTTGTAGATTAAAACCTCTTTTACTACTGTTTCAGCCTGAGGACCCACACGCGCAGTCTTGGAAGCGTGGCTGTGATTTCCGAACGAGGAGAAATCCTCGGAGCAGTGTGGTCGCTTCGTGAAGCCTGTGAAGTGCCCAGGAAACTTCTGAGCTTCTGGAAGGAGATAGACTGGGTTAATTAGCCAGGACTTTACGCACATTAGACTATATATGTATATACTATACCTTGTCTATGATCGTTAAATAAATAAAAACTCGAAGTATTTTCAATACAAGCAATAGTTAATTTTTTTATTAAATTTATATTGCTTAAAAATTTTCAAATGACACAAAATAAGCAACAAAACTCAGAAATGTTAATGAGTTTCGTGAGATCGGGTTTCGGTCATCGATTTTTTGCTATCTTGTCTGAGAACTATTTAAGGCAAGTTCGTAAATATCTGTAAATTATAGTGAGTAAAAAAGCAAACATTTTGCGAAATGGCTTACTTTCGTTCAAAGAAAATGTGTTGGTCCATATCTTTACTTTTATGAGCCCTCGTTGCCGTGTTGGGCCCAAAACAATGAAATAAAAAGACGTAAAAATTATGGGGAAGTAATTTTTATATCACGATATTTTTTGCAACGAATCTTTTCTGCGCGATATTGTCAGATATGTCACTTATACGAGTACGTACTCGTAGTAATAAAAAATGGTGGCGGCTTGGCAAACTTTTTATTCAATAGCAAGCCATGGCCATATTATATGAAAACCCATATAAAAACAAAGTTATATTGAAAAAATACCAATATATGTGTTATGTCGTAGGAATTTGGTTGTACTAATTTGGTTTGGGGTCACTGCCCTACATGAACCTTCATAATAATTTATTTTAAATAAAGATTAACTTCTAAATAAAAATCTATAAGCAGTTCAATCTTCTTCCCAAATACACATACATTACACAAGGCAGTGAGAACAAAAGTAAAAAAAAAAAAAGTCTACCTGAGTCCTTTTAGCAACTCTCTAACGTTAAAAGTAATTTAGTTCGCTGGAGGACAATCTAGGTCAACTTTTTTTTAATCAAGAAAATCACTCCCAATGTTCAGTGAAAAGTATTTAGCAATTAACTCTAAATACTACTACCATTAATCGTAAATTTCGATTGCCGTTATTTATTTATTAAATATAACTCAAAAGACTTCCAATCACACAAAGATAGACCAATTCCAATATATTTATGTTAACACGTCGTTTTATGTTGGACGATGGAAATTGAGATATTTCGAACCGTATCCGCCTGCGCAAAATAGCCTTCCCGATAAAATATGATTGCCCGAGATCTTTTTTATTACTTACACCATTCTCAGTGAAATACTCGTCCTGTTGTTACTTCCGGTTCGCTCGTAAATACGTAGTAACAATTTTGTATTTATTGAAACAGTTTATATAATATTCAAGAAAAACAATTGTTTTAGTTTATTTATACGTAAATGTCTTTGTTTTATTTTACTAAGAAGTCTATAATGTATCCTCGAATGGGGTTTTGGATTCAATAGAAGTACAAAGGTCGTCACAGTGCTTAATTACTATTAAAAATATTATAATTTAATGAACATTAATCTTTATATTCATAAATTATTCACTTTTTATTCATTTGTATTCTTATTTAAAATTCCTTTATTGCATCATGATACCTAATTGCTTTTAATTTTTTTACGTGAGAAAACATCTGCAATTCATTTATATTATGTTAAATGATGGTAATTCCTCTTATTAACTTTTAAATAAAATTATATTTATATAATTTCAAGAACGCAATAAACGTGATGGCTGAGTTACGGTTATGTAAAAAACTGTTCGTTTAATTCATAAAATAAAAAATACTTATTACTAAACTTTTATTCAGTTATACCAAATAGACAGATTTGATTGGGGAGTATATTGATTGACACTTTATAGTGATTTCGAAACATACAGTAGGCTTCCTACAAAATATTGTGTTGTATTGCACGTTTATCAGAAGCGCTACAACCTTTATAAAGTTGGGCCACGGGTTTCTGTATCTGCTTCATGATCATTTGTCAATCTAATAGGCAAGTAGGTGATCAGCCTCTTGTGCCTGACACACGCCTTCGACATTTTGGGTCTAAGGCAAGCCGGTTTCCTCTCGATGTTTTCCTTCAACGTTCGAAGGAATGTTAAAATTCACATGTAAAGAAAATCCATTGGTGCACAACCGAGGATCGAACTTTCGACCTCAGGGATGAGCACCAATGGCCAAAACTGATCTTTGTGCGTTTTCCTACGTTTAAAATTAACTTGTTTATACGTTTGCAATTACCAAAGATAATTATTACTTACATTTTGTAAAAATGTAATTAAAGTATTACACGATTACATTGGTAACGTCACTATATAAAATCGAATGGGTAAATATAAATCTCCGTCGCATGGAAATTGTCGTATAAATTTTTTGGGATCACTTCCCTAATAAAAGTTATAAATTTACCTTTCTGCCGAGGTATAACCTAATCGGTTGTTCGGGATATTTAGACACCCTTCAACAGTTTAAAGAATGCATTGCACTTGACTATTACATATTAATGCTAATGTTCTTTACTTGTGTGTATCAATATGGAATATAGTATCGATGCTTGCTTAGTCTCAATAAGTGAATTTAAAAAATAACCCTTTGAATATTATGTTTTTTTATATTCAGCTATACTGATAATGATACCGTCAAAACGCTCCGATCTTATTATCAAGTGATGTTAACCTAAAGTTTTATATGGATGGTATTAAATCAGCACTTCGATTTTTGGGTTTAAAGCCTTCACGATTTTCACCGTAAGTTTTTTTATGTAACAGGAGACGCACCTGATGTTAAGTGATAATGTGAATGTGTCCCAGGATACTCACATTGCCGGATGTCTCGCATGTGCGTTGCCGGTCTTTTAAGAATGGGTACGCTTCTTTAAAGATTAAGTCGAATTGTTTCGGAAATACCTTAGCGAACAGCTGTTATATAAAAGTTGTGCACATGAAATGAAATTTTATTAATATTTTATATTAAGACTAGCATCACTGATGTTCATAGTTTCACAACCATTAACAAAATAATAAAAAAGAACTCTCCGTATAAGCAGCAGCAGCGAAAATTGTCTTCACTGTGGTTTTCTACTTCCTCCTGTGGTTTTTTACAAACCTCTTTTGAAATGCCTGCGGGAGAAGGCATTTCCTAACCATATCCTATCCTGCTCAATTGTGACTTTTGTAATTTTTGTATTTCCTATTCTTTTGTATTGCATTGCAATTCGTGAATTCGTGAGATTAGATTTTTAGTTTTTAGATTACAATTTTACTGTATTATTTTAGATTAGGGTTGGTGATTCTATAATATTTTTTTTATAAGATTTAGTTGTGCACTTCACCCTACACCCAATATGATCCTTACTAGGGTGTCCTGGAAGAGATCGCTTGTTACCGATAAGGCCGCCCGTTGCATCCCTTACAATTTTTATGTAATAATAAATAAATAACTATCAAGGGTCAGGTCGACGTCATTTACCGATTTTCGAAAGGCATTTGATAAAAAGGAATTACGGGATTCACGTCAACTTAAGATCTTAGATAAACAATCGCACCTAAATATTGGGCATTTTTATTTCAGAATACAATTTAGATTCTAATATAAACTGTCAACAGTCGATTTCATATGAAAAACAGACCCAGATGCAATATTTGACAAGTGTTGTATTATTCTTAACACGCTCCACACAAATTACTCGTAAAACGATGTATGGTCCTGCGGATATAAACGTTGATAGTTCGTTCTTACCAAGTTGGTTTTATTGCAATTCGTTTTGAACCTTATCGAAAGGTATGAAAGATAGTTTTTATACACGAACAAGAATTTTTGTAACCACGCACTTTTCAGTCTCTTGGGCCTAGGATGTCCAATATATTGGGAACCTGGCAAGCGTTCAAGATAAGTCAGCAAATTGGGAAATATTTCGTTTAATATAATTAAAATATATATTAAATAATATAGTACTTTGAAAAATATGTTTAAAGCAACTTGAATTGAGTTTTAGATTATTTATGTACATTGTACCTGTATGTTATTGTTACATGTACACAGCTTTAAACTTTATGATTTATTTTATTTTATTTTTTATTTTTTTACATTTAAGGTACAGAAACAGACATCAGATTGGTTAAATACATACAGTTATAACACACTAAACATTATTTTTAAACATTATTTGTATGGTGAAGTTATAAAGAATAATTATAAACACACTTTTATTTTTTATTTTCATTTAATTTATTCAACATCAATATAATGAAACGATGTTAATAAAATTACTACCAGTACATTTTGAGAAAGATGTCCCGAAAAATATATTTATTGCCAAAAACACTTCACAATTCATAAATTAATTCAATCAACGTCAAAAATATTCAAGCGAAGAAAGCCGGTTTAAATAATGAGGGGAAATTATGGGTGAAAATTAACGGGAGATAACATTAAATTGGTCCTGAAGGGAGGTTACGATAAGGCTCCACACATTTCACACCTCCAAAAGAACGGAATTCGGAGAAAATACTTCAAGGATTGTGGGTTTTATCTTAATGTTAGCGATTGCAGACCGCGGGATGTTTCTATCTCGGGCCTACATTTGTTATTTGAGACATTCAAAACATTTTGTCTTCCATTGTCTGACTGAAGTATTCTTCTTATGTTTAGTAGAGTAAAATTTATAATCGTATTAATGTATGATTATTTGAGGTACGAAACACATAACATTTTGTTTCTTATAAACTAAATAATAAATGATGGGTTTATAACACATTGTGGGTCAAAGAGTCAGCGAAGTGTGTGTATGATGCGACGGCTACTACATCTCATTTAACTACCTGGTTCAACGGTCTATTTGTGAAAGAAACATAACACACTTTTTTCAAAATTAGGCATTCGGATTCCCTAAAATTAATCCACAATCAATTATATGACTCGCTCCCGTGATACAGTTGGCATTTTCACTGGCCAAAAACGTAATTAGCTTGGCCACGTCATCGCTTTCTACAATTTTCTTTAAAGGAATAACTTCTGTTATTTTTTCAAGTTCTAGCTCGTTCTGTTCGTGGCTTAGCGAGTTTGCCTTGAACAGGTTCGTATTAACTGGTCCTGGATTTACCATATTCACTCTCACTCCTTTCGGGCCAAGTTCCAAAGCTGTGCACTTGGTGAATATATCCATGGCTGCCTTCGTCATGGAATATGCCATCATACGGAGTATAGGCATCATGGAGACGACGCTTGATACATTTACAATGTTACCTTTGGTTTCCAGCAAATGAGGTACAGCCTTCTGAGTAAGTAGATATGTTCCACGGATGTTTGTTGCTATCATTTTGTCGAAGTTCTTTATATCGCCTGTGATATCTGACATGATGAGGAATCCGGCGTTGTTAACAAGAACATCCAGCTTTCCATAGCGATCTATTGTTTCTACAATAATCCGTTGAACATCATCATCTATGCTGATGTCAGCTTTAATTGTAAGGGGTCTATTCCCTTTTAGTTCTTCACATTTTCCAGCAACGTTGTTAAGATTTTCCACATTCCTGCCGACTAAGGATAAGTTGGCATTTAATGCAGCAAATCGAAGAGCACAAGAAGCACCAATGCCGCCGCTTGCACCAGTTATTAAGACAACCTTATTACTGAAGTCCATTCTACTTAACGTCAGGACAAAGAATGAGTAATTTGTGCTTGAATACTACGCTAATAATTGCGAATAGAATACAGAGGAGGTTTATATAGAGGTATATTTACTAATTAATTTTTATCATTAAGATTTTTTACTCTGCGATACTGTAATCAGTGCCATAAGGAAGATGAATTTTATAATTGAAATAGTATAAATATTCTTTTTAATTAAATATATATTATATTTATTTTTCTTAAAAAAATATATAAACTGATAATTTGTCTGTTGAGTTACCTGATCTTTGCGGGAGGCCACACTTTGGCATTGGCGGTTAGCTTCATATTTCAGTAACATATATATATTATATATAAGGTCTGATTTAATTCTCCAAACTACAATTGTTATATGTATACAATTTGTATACTGAGTAAATTTAGTTTTTTATTTATTTATAAGTTATTAAACAACGAGTTATGTATAAAATTTTACAAACATTTTGACATCACAACTTTTACACACATACATATCTATTATATTAGAAAATAAGCAAGCTAGCAAGGGAAAAAGTTCAACAAGCAACCACAAAATAAAAATAAAAAATAACAATAACTAAAACCTGCAGTAGGTCTAGTTACTAGATAGAGAATAAATTCAAATTACTAGACTCTAGTAATTTGAATTTATACACTTCAGGTTAAATAAAACTCATTAAATAAATGAAATATTTATTACCTTACGTATTAATTGAAGCATTTTATATTACATAGGTATGTACAATTTTGACACATTAAACATACAAGCTCCTAAATTGGCACATCAAAAAGTTAAACTAGTATACTAATTACTATTATATAAATAAGCTACTACAACCATACTTTAGCTCAGAATTTCTTCAATTCATAGTTTTAATAAGATTAAAAACTATTCAATCAATTACAATAAACATATTGTAAAACAAACGATCACATTTTCGTTTTCGCTAAAGTACATTAAGACAGTAAAACAATTGAATTGTATCGTCAATGATTGAAAACCAATTCATCTTTAAACAAAATTAACTTTAAAGTATAAAGAATATGCACAGCGGACCGATTATGAGTCTAAGTGCGGAAACTGTGTCCACAATCCACAACCATAGGTATAAAGTGTTTTACAATCATTTTATAATTAAGTTTCTAATCTTAACGTATAAATTATATTTTTTGTAGTTCATGCATGTTTTTGCAACATTCGTGGACACCTGATCGGTCAGGTTGTGTTTGTGACCTTGAGAAGCAAATGACCTTACTAAACATTACGTTTTTTAGTAATTTAACACTTCCTTGCAAAATCCGTTCAATTATATTTAAATAATAAGGAGGACAAAGCGGCCTTCATGTGATTCGTTCCAGGCCATTGATATAGACAACAATAGTTATATTTTAATACTCGTACGTTTAAGATTTAAATTTTTGCCACACCAAACAGTTTGATTTAATTTGATAATAAGAATAATACAGTAGCACTGCAACCTATATATGGATCTTGGTCAGTCTTCGTTTTATAAACTAGTAATTTCCGGATTGCACACACTTAAGCTTCCAGGCCAAGAATGGTTTTGCTATATTTTAATCTTACATTCTCTGTACACAGCATGGAACAAACTGCAGTATTGGAAAGACAATTAACGGCCAATTACAATAACTGCTTCAATTGGATAAGTGGATCTTTGCCAGTTGCTGTCGCATTGTTTTTTATTGATTTTTCTCACATTATCGCCCTTATGGTAAATTTCCTGGATATTAATAGAATATTAATCGTGTCGTAATTACGTTCCAATTTTATAAGCGAATATGATTTACATAGTTTAGTTTTTTTTATATAGATATGATTACGTAAGTTATACTTTAATAGCTATCTCTGAGAAAGAGCAGTGTTAGAGAGGTCCTAGGTGCGATCCCCAACTTTATAGTATATGGCTAAGGAAACCATCGTGCGAAAACAGTTAACAGTGTGTATCAGGCACAGAACACCTAATTGCCTATTAGAAAAAATTAAAATGATTACATATAAACAAACTGAGACCTAGACCTAAATGTTACTCTTATTTTTCTGAGGTTTGAAGCGCTTATAAATATTGAATTGGATTTAAACTTTGAAATAGGAATAAATTAGTACTTAGTATTTACTTATTTAATTATAATTATGATAATTATAGGTTCGTGAGATCTAGACCTCGCTAGGCTAGACTTGGCACGATTGACATACCAGTCTTGCTTCCGATACAAACTGTTAAAACGCATGACCATGTTCAAGAATTGCATAATTAAGCGATAAACTCCATTAAATAATACAATTTAAATAACTAAAGATTTATAATTCCGTATTCCATAGCCTTATAAAAATGTGTAGCAACCGTAAACGATTTAATTTCCATATCTCTTTTCCTTCTAATTTCCACATTCTTTGAGCCTATAAAAGAACATGGATAATAACCTGTTAATAAAAGTTGACACATCATCAAAATTCAACCAGATGTTTTCCCGGCCGAATCAGCCACGGGCCCATCTCCAAAGACTGGCCATGTATGAATGAGAGATGATAGTGCTTAAATGTATGCGCAAAGATGGGCTCTCGTACACTACGGTGGGATAGACGTCCAAATATCATGGGAGCGGGTGACTAATGACTGCGACAGATGACGTGAACTTCTAAATTTAGGGCTACTATTGAAATTTACTTTTGGAATTTCCACACAAGGCATTATTTATGAAAATTTGATTACAGATAACCAATGCGACAAATAATTTGGCCTTTACAAGGTTATGTTACGGAGGTCAATTTTAAAGTTGGTGAGATTTATCATTGAAAGATTAAGGGTCTGTTTCACAATGTACGGATAAGTTCTACATAAGTTCCAAATTAGCTATTTATTACTTAAGGTGCGCTTACACGAGGGCAATAATTGCTCGGCGACACGAATGGACCGATCTGGAGCAATTAATGGAGCAATTTCAATAAATTCAATAAATTTCAATAAATTATTGCGGCGATATTGCTTATAATTGCTCCAGATATTTCATATCGCTCAATGTTGCAGATACGAATTGACGAATATCCAATGGACTTGGAAATTCCTAGCAATTTTTGTATATATCTCATTCGCACTTGTTTGTTTTGCGGCTTGCCGTCTTGCTTCCGCGGGGAGAGCGAGAGGTCTAAATAATAATAATTTCTAATTACTTTATTCAAAAGTAATTCAAAGTCTGTTCGTGACATTCTAGTAAAGTTTTTGAATAATATATCATCTGAATATATAGAAAAAACGATCGCACCCAGATACGCCTATTCCTTTTCTTTCTTTTTTGTTTTTGATTAATAATAAAAAAAGCGCTACAAGCCGCCGCAGCAAGAACAATGTCGTCTATAGCGAGCGAATACTGAATTGCTCGTGTAGGACAGTATTGCCTAGTTGATGAAGTTGCGCCATATCGCTCAATATTGTATTGCGCAGCATTGATGCTTGTTGCCGTTGCCGTAAATTGCTTGATGTAGTCGTGACGTCATAGTTGACGAGTATTGACTGGAACTGAGCAATTTTAGTTGCCCGTGTAAGCGCACCTTTATTGGTAGGATAAACACAATTGTTGCGTTTCACGAGTGTCAGATAGCGCTATTCGTCACATAAAGTCCATCATAAGTTATGAGTCCGATGAATGTCAATTTATCTTCCAAATAATTTATGTGTTGCATAGCTATTTGGTACTTTATCCATACATTGTGAAACAGACACTTACAGAAGCTCTTCTTCTAAACATCTAGAATATCTAATAAGTATAATAATATAGTGGCGCTACCCTTATGGGTCTTAATGAAATTTTAATTTTATAGAGAAGTAGGTGGTCAGCCTTGTGTCTGACACATCATCGATTTTTGCGTCTTGCGGTTTCCTTACGATGTTTGCCTACACAGTAACAAGTGCTGTAGCCGTGATTCGAGCGCACAACTGCTAGTATGAGGGTCGCATGCTTAAGACACTACTAACACTGCTCTTCTAATAAATCTAATTACAATAATTCAAATTAACCAAAACCCTTGAATTGTGAAACTCGGGGTTCTCTCTTAGCGAAAACCTTACAGCCTTGCTATTCTGTAACTCACTTTTGAACTATCACAGCGGTTTAATAAAACGGTAGCGGTATAACAATAAACTACAAGCTCCCTCCTTATCAGAATGCCAAATCGTAAAATGACTGCTTCACGACTGATTTGAGCGCGACGGCCGCTGTGAAAACCGCTGTGAGAGTTCGAAAAGTGAGTGACAGAATCGCAAGGCTGAAGAAGACGGACAGCTGGACATTTTACCACTACAAATCTGCATAATTTATAGATGAATGTGGTTTAAAATATTCACTAAACATATTGTAGGATTAAAATACGAATTCTACCGAATGCTACAGATTTTAGAGTAGAAGCCTAGCGTTTACTTAGATGCTACACGGCAAAGAAGCCTTTCTTTGTACAAAACGTGTTAAAACACTGGAGGGAGTGCGATACTGGACGTTTGTGTTATCCTAGTTATAAATTTAATTCAACCCACAAATCCTAAAAGCAAAGAACTATTTAAGTGATAAAGTTAAAAGTGTTTCCTATTTGTCACTGTTTAAATCTTCAGTAAATATCATTGGATTATTTAATACAGAAATCACTTATCAGTTTTATTATACTGTTTTTACTGGTTTCTTTAATGCGTGTACTAAACATATTAAATTAGTTAAAACAGTTTAATGTGACTAGTTTTTCTAATATTACTTTAATTAAACGCAGGAATACGGTTACGAACTTTTACAAAACCACTAGTTACATTACTTTCTACGTGAGTTTCTTACAAAATTCCAGCTCTACACAAAAGCATGTCTATGTATTGGCAGTTTTCTGTTATTTACTGGCTTATATACTAACATACTCCATACCAATACCAATATCCATACCTCACCAATTACCAATTTATACATTCCACTATTATACATTTACACAATTACAACACAAAGAATTTCTGATATTCTTTACTGCGAGTATTTTACGTTGTTACACTCATTAAAATACAAGTTTATTTTAATATATTGACCAGAGCTGGTGCATTCCTCGCTCAACGAGTAAATATCGCAATACAGCGATTAAATGCAGCCGGTAAAGGTACACTGCCACAGAGACCAAACTTTTAAATGTGTATTAATTTTCTAGTTTATTTTAAGGTACGGTACGCAAAACGGGCCAACGGTTTTTGAAGTTATACTTCTTTAGGCGCGTTATGAAAAATTGATGAGAGTGAAATTTTACGATGCGCGCGCACCGTGACACAAAATTAACAGAATGAAGTTGCCCTCGGAAGATGATACGGCATTGGACATTATTTAAAAACAACATTCGAATAATAATAGAATTTATGTTACACTTAATGTAAGAGAATAATAATAAATATTTATTTATTTAATTTTTCAAATGTAAACTGAACTTTATTGATTATAATGACTCCTTTTCCAGTCTTTGATTATTTAATTGTCATTAATTATTTCATGCAATCAAAAACCATTTTTAATAATGCCAAAGAAGTATAACTTCTTACGCGCGTACATAAGTACACGCACCCTTTTTTTATACAAATGTTTACTGTGACAACACAGATTAGACATTACCACATACTTACTTGGTACAAGTTTTTAAATTTAGAATTTCGTCCTTCAAAGTGTTTGTTTTCGGTATTATGTACTACACTAACTTACGTTATTCAACAGGTACATTTGACTCTGAATACAGCAGCAGTATAAACATACTAGCTTGCTCGACCTTAATATGTTAACATCGAAATTAGTACAGCTGTGCAATAATAAACGCACCTATTAAGGGTCTAATTGAAGCAATCTAATACCTACGTTATATAAAAATAATGATCTACATATCACTACACCTACAGAGATTGAAATATTACGACTAGAAATGATCGGAAAGCCTTATTTTAAATCACAATATCGCTTGGCAATATAAAACCTTAACCTATTTCGATAGAATCACATTTCTACATAAAAATATTTTTGCTCTGTGGTTTTTTTGGCGGCAATTAAAACAGTTACGAATTTATTTGTATTTTTATACAGAATTTAACGGTATATTATTGTAGGAAACTTCAGCACTTATTTTGAAATTCGAACAAAACAGAAGCAAAGCATTCGTTCGAATTGCATTCTTTAGTAATTGTATAGGGAATGTCTGCGTTGGGGAAGTCAAAAGACTATCGCGTTGAAGTAAATATTAATTAGGAACTCGAAGTTCGTGTTAACGATATCAAATAGTTTGTAAAATTTGCGGATCCAGGTCGTGGTCATGTCCTTCCTTCGGACATAAAGAGAAGGAGTCTAGCTGTATGACGAATTTTTGATATTGTTACAAAATAATTTGAGTTAGATTCTGTATAAGAACGATCCCAAATAGTTCTTTTACTAGTATAAAAATACGAAGTTGTGATTCGTAAAAGTGTAAATGATTGTCTGACGTGAATTCTGGAACCTTCGTAAAGAAAAACTTATAGCGCTATTTTTTTTTGCTTTGCTTCTGATAGTGCAAAACTAAACCTTCATTCAAATATTTTTGGTTAGAAGAATACTTCACCAAGCACAGAGCAACAATAAATAATAAAATAATTTAAAGCTTTTTTTGCTTTTTGCTGATGACTACTGTTTTAATATATGGTACAAAAATTATCCTAGCTTATCATCGCCGAACCAGCTTAGTTTAAGCTCAAAAGTAAGCTTTGGAGTATGGCATAAGAAAATATGGTATATCACGGAACAACGCCGTGTTATGCGGTTTTCAAATGGTGTGTTTCGTGGTCGCACCGGCGTAGGACAGCGAAATGCGTCATTTGGAAGGTGTTTGTTGAGCGGCTGCCTCTCTCCAGGGTGCCTGTCATTGTGTAGCCCATGTTGAAGTCCGCCTGGGTAACATTGGTTGTTAGGTACAGCTGCAAATAAAAGGAAAGATGTATTATGTGTATAAATGTCCGCGGTTATGATGCAGTCTAAGTGTGTGTGTATAACCTCCTAATAATATCTAAAAATTTAATAGAATAGGTGTAATTAAGTTCTTTTAAAAAGTGGCAGCGACCATGGGCGTGTCCATCGTATAAAAATCTACTTAAACCTTCTTAAAATTCAAAATCATTTATTCACATAGGTTAAACACAATGTACACTTATGAACGTCAATAAAGAAATCCATGCTTCTAATTTTACATTTACTGGCAGTTCTCAAATCAAGGCCCTAGAACGGACGAGAAGAACTGGCAATAAACTTTTCGCCACTCTTTTTAATCGCCGAGTTTTTTGTTTTATTGAATGTTAGTAAGGAGCTGCAACCGTTACACCCACTGTTCCACATGACATCTTTAAGTAATGAATAGTTAATTATTAATTTAAAAAAAGCATGTCCTCTATCAGCAGTAGGCATGGTGAAATAGGAGTACGCACTTACACTCTCGTGGGAACAACACGCAAATACATAGAACATAAGTAACATCACCTGATTAGTTATAATTTATTATATGAACGAAATTTTAACTGTTTTATCTTATAATCATGACCCTTTTCCTAGCTACTTAGTAATAATTGGTTAGCCAGTAAAGTGCCCTAATAAACACTAAAGTAAATGGTACTCCGAGCCCATTGCTGTAATATTTTATTGCAATGGTGTACGTATGGTAGGAGAATTCATAAAACTAATAACATCAGGAAGATTGCCTGAGTACACACATTATGTTTAGTGTTCTTAAATAATTACGCATTGAGTCTGAAGGAATGGAAAAAAAGCATCTTACATTGAGAAGACAAAACAAAACATGGTGACATTCGGCTTAAATGGGAATGGGCAGGTCATATATCCAGAGCGCGGGATACAAGATGGTCACTTCAAAAAATGGGCTGGACCTACTGGAAAGAGATATGTAGGACGACAAAAGAAACGATGGACAGTTGAAGTAATAGAACTAGCGAGGGATAGTATGAATGTTGCTCAAGACAGAGAAAAATGGAAAAATATGAAAGAGGCTTTTACTCTAAAAGGGACCATACAAATACTAGAACACTTATAAAACTAACTTAAATTTTTAGAACTTTACTAAAAGTTCTTTAGTTTTAGTCATAACTAATACTAAGAACTAAAAATTAAATGTAAACTAAACCATTATTGTATGGATTAATTAATTATGCATGAATATTTTTTTATGTAAAAAGGTTTTAAGCAAACGGGAAGAATTGCCGCCCATGGATACACATGGCCATGCGCGTAAATGCAAAACAATCATAAATTAAATTATTCACATAAAGAATGACTTATTCAATACGCTGCCCCCGAGAACTTCGTTTCAACTTAATATTTTTTTTTTACTTAGCCTACATTTTTCTTACCATAAAACCAAAAAAATGAAATGGACCAGCTGTCTTCCGGTTTGCGCCTTTTTTTTTATGGCTCTGACACGATTTGTGCATTAGCCAGCGTCAAATATAGGATTTTTTATAATTCATGCTTGTCTTTAGAAATTCGACCGTGTCCTCCATGTACAGTTTAAGCAGTACCGCACAACCCTCCCAAAGGCCGGGAACAAATTTAAATTAAATTAAATCTTGCCCTCGACCGGGAATCGAACCCGGTACCCCTCACCTAGCTGCCACTTAATAAGACCGCTAGGCTATGAGGCCCGGTTTTGCGCTTATCCACATATCTTGCGAATCATTTTATTTAACTAAGAAACATTTAGCATTATAGGTAAAAACAAACCCTTTGTCAGTCCATTTGTCAATTTAAAAGCGTTAAATCATAGAGTTCATTTAGGATGCATAATTTAATGTGGGCCCCATATTTAATTTCACTAAGACATCTGAAAATAAAGCTACCTTGAAATCAGCATCGGTCCCAAGATGTTTGAAGGTTCCAACTATGTAGACTGCGTTCACGCCGCTGACCACCATTCTCGCTTGGGTGCTGTGTCTGCAAAGATAAAGATTGATAAGGCAACAAATTAGGCAGTGTTCGGTGTCTTAAGTCAAAACAGAGTTCAGGGCCATATTCTGGTGATGTAAAAGGGAGATACAGTTTTTAGATACCGCTGCCCATGGAGTCTCAATGCCACAGGACTCGCAAGTGTGTTGCCGGCTTTAAGAATTGGTACGCTCTGTTCTTGAAGGACCCTTATTTCACAGTAAAAACACGATTGGGATCTTGTAATACCAATGAACATCATTCTGCTCACGTCCAGCACGTACACCTGATATAATAGCCCTCGTAACGGCCCCGAACATCTTAACACATCACAAATTAAAACCTTTGTTCCCTTATGTACTTTGCAGGTGTAATCGACCCATAATGTTTGCTTTCGAAATGTACGCTAAATTAGGTTCTATTCTAAGATTGTGTAAAGGAAAGAGCTAAGGAAAAAGTTTTTATAATGTTAACGGTGTATTCAATATTATTAGCCCAATCCTTCTTTGTGTGATTACCATATACAGTTAAAAATCTGCTATGACCAAATATGAGTAGTCCCTTCGATGAATGACATCGAAGGGACTACTCATATTAGGTCGTAAAAACCGATAGTCGTAACAGCCGATGACGTTGTTATTAAGTACCTAATACAATAGAATTCAGCCGGGACCGTTGATTTTGGTCAATATAACCGGTATGTTGTTCTAAACGATGTCGTCATAAACGTTTTTGACTGTAATAGTAACTAATGACGCACTCTATAGTACGTTTAGTAAATGACAGTGACACAGAACATGACAGTGAAATGTTTGATATTCATGACAATACAAATCAGGGACTTTGCACTGTAAGGCGAGCAATTCTGTACCTATGGCTTATTGCAAATGGCGCCGTTCATCCTTTTTATTTCTTAAAAAATTAACCTAAGAAATATATAAACAAACTGCGTTTAAATGTACGCTATTATTGTGAGTTTTAATATCAGATTAACAAGAAAAAAGCATACTTTTATATGCAATATGTTGTTTAATCTTTAATTAGTGGTACAAGTTAGACTAAAAAGTTAAATAGCGTGTACCTACAACATTATTTATATATTATTAGTATACTACATTTAATAAGAGGCTTTAACCTCTATTCATGCTATTTTAATAATGCATAAGCTTCACTATATTCCTTTGCACTGCCGTAAGTACTGAGAACTTGCAGGATAGAGGAAATGAGCTTAAACTGAAATTGCTACAGAGAAAACCTTATACTGTTACTGTAACTTAACACTGTACCACAATTTTATTTGTGAAAGTTCTTTATTAAAACACTTACGGCATTGCATTTTAAATTCTAGAGAAATCTAGTTTCTGATTAGTTTTATTATCGTTTTGAGGCTTTATTATTGTCACTTTATAGCGCTTTATTAATGGAATACTTAATAAAAGAAATATTCAGTTATGAAATTTCATTTAATTAAACTAAAAGTTATATAATAATGATTAGTCGGGCTGTATTTGTCTGTTGTTGAGACTAAACGATGTCTTGTTTAAGACGTGTTTTTCGTCAATGTAGAAGCAACTCCATCATCCGTGATTGATCATTTATATAAATAATTAAGTCTTCATACATTTTATTCTCTAACAGGCCTAAATATTGTTTCTCAATAATTATTTTATTCCGTAAATTATTATTAGTTTCAGGCGCCATTCTTAAGATATCCTATATGAAACCTTTACGCTACCCTACTTCAAAATTGTACAATGAAACAAAACTTCTAACGGTTAGTCAACTATACTTAATGGCATATAGCTTTTTTGAAAACAAACACCGACCATACCACATCATACGCAACGCAAAATAAGCAACCCAAAAAATGCATTTTCTTCGCCCAACGGTTATTCTACTTCCGAGGCCCTTTCATCTTTAACCACTTTCCTAAAAACAATTTTCTTACTTTTGATTCAAAACTTTAAAGCTTCTATTCTCCTTTTGCAAAAAATAAAAATATGTCAAATATGATACCTATGACACTGAATCCTAGTGTGGGGTGCATTTTGTATTTTAATTATATAGCCTTTTTTATTGTGCGTGTTAATTTAAATTAATAGATCCCTCAAACACTCTCTTATATTAGAATGTGACTCAAAGCCCTTAAACGCCCAAATAATAAAAGCAAACAATGAAAATCGTTTTTCTTTTCTTGTTAATTTTAATTAACAGTTCTCTCAAACACTCTCTGTTTATATTAGAATATGACTCAAATCATTTTTTAAATAGTTTCCTCAATTCTCCAGCCCTTAAACGCCCAAATAATAAAAGCAAACAATGATACGTGTTTTTCTTTTCTTGCCAATTTTAATTTATAGTCCCTCAAACACTATACTAAAATTTGAATCAAATAATTATTTAAATAGTTTCCTCAATTCTCCAGCCCTTATCACCCAAATAATAAAAAGTGATTTTATTTTCTAGTTAATTTTAATTAAAAGATCCCTCAAACACTTTAAACTAAAATTTGAGTCAAATCATTATTTAAATAGTTTCCTCAATTTTCCAGCCCTTAAACGCCCAAATAATAAAAGCGAATAATGAAAGTCAAAATTATAATTGGATAGAATAAGATCTGTATTATCATGAAATACGGGTCGTTTAGGCAAAACAGCAGTAATCGTTAGCGCTAACAGTGCCACTTTAATCCTCCTCCTATCGTTTCGAATCTTTTCCCCTAACGATACTATTAAGGTTGAGGGAAATTGAAATCACCTCTAATGCTACAAGCCAAATCGCCATATTAATGACACGATAGTTGGCGTGTATTATTTTAGGTGTAGCTTTTAAATGTGCTAAATTTATGAGTACGTTTGTGTTCCAAATTTACCGTAAACTAAAAGTATATGATTAGTCTCGTCTCGGTATATTCCAATTTAGGAAGCAATTTAAGCCCAAATTCAGTTAAGTAGTTTATGAAATAATCGACTTATTTCTGCAGTATAATATAAATAATGTCATTTTATTATAGGTAAATAATGTTTACAGTTGTTTGAAGTTGATTTAATGTTATAAAACTATTTTTATGACATATCATATCATAAGGGCAGAGTTCTATTATTCAGATTTATAATTTAGCTTATTTTACTTTCAATATTACTTACATTTTATATGGTGGAACTTGGTAGGCTTGTATGTCACAATATTGTTCAGTAAATAATTTGGAAAGGTATTTGAGGTAATTTTTCAAAACGATTTTTTATTATTGTTAGAATAACATTCATTTAAGTTGTGAGTTGTTTCTTATATCGTGTTTTACAATGCAATTCATGTATCTATTCTCTACAAATTTGAATTGCTGGTAAAGTTATAGTTAGAAGCCAAAACTAATAACATTCGACACTTTTTGGCGGGAACATGATTTTTGTTGGCGTCACGTTGGCGCCACTTCTCAGAACCTTTATATTCGAAATTTGAATAATGACATGCAATTACCACAGAATATCAACGTAAGCAAACAGATAAGGTTTATAAACTTTAAAAAGTGTATATTTTAGTGTGAATTCTAATTTTAAAATGTTTGAATATAATAGAAATTAATTAATTAATTAATTTCAATATTCGTTACTTTTACTTAGTAAATCCTATCAGTGTAGGAGTTCATTATAAATAAGGTATTTTGTTGCATTAAAGTAGGTAATATAAGACTTAGCAAAATAAAAACTAGGGTAAATTATAAATCGAACACTTTTTTGTAAAATCCAATTTATTGCATAAGAATTCACTGATACTTATATACAAATGTTACAAATGATACATTTATATTAGTAAGGGACTTTCTGTAATTATTAATTCACAACAAACGCCATATCGTTTTAATCAGAAATTTATTATAATAGCTAGGTAATTCGGGATTTCTCGTCCCATTTAAGACCCGTCTTCGTTAATTACGTGATGCTAATGTTTTACTTAAACCTAAATGTTGATAGACGGCTTCCTTTTAAAGCGAATATTTTTGCTTTTTGAAATAAATTTCGGAATTTAAATTAAGAACGCTAACGCGAAAACTGTTTTGCGTGATATTTTTACAGAGGTGATTTTATTATTTAATGTCTTTGACCAATACACTTGTAACCAGGTCATGAAAATAAAAAAGTAATACTTTAAATGAGCAGTGTTGGCCTAGTGGCTTTAGATTGCGACTCTCATCCCAGAGGTCGTAGGTTCGATCCCCGGCTGTGCACCAATGGACTTTCTTTCTATGTGCGCATTTAACATTCGCTCGAACGGTAAAGGAAAACATCGTGAGGAAACCGGCTTGCCTTAGACCCAAAAATTCGAAGGCATGTGTCAGGCCCAGGAGGCTGATCACCTACTTGCCTATTAGATTGACAAAATATCATGAAACATACAGAAATCTGAGGTCCAGACATAAAAGGGTTGTAGCGCCATTATTATTATAGTATTCATTAAAGTTTTATTGTGTGCCCGTGTGTGTGTGTGAAGAGACTTACATACTAAGGTCTAGGATCTCATGTTTAGGGGATTAATAAATATAAAAACAATTTACCTTCTCGTTCCAGCAACTTCCACGACCTTGCATCTAGACCGGCGCCACCAACAGGGCTGCAGCGTCCAATAAGATGAAGAGGCACTCCTCGCCCACCCTTCTTCAGGGAATAGTAGGACCTGTTGACAATTGACATGATGTTAGTTCTGGTATTACATTATTTTGACAGCACCAGGAACTGCTTTCAATCCAATAACTCAAAGAGATTCCGATCTATGGCTAAGTTATATACATGTGTAACTTGGATGGGTTCGATTCCCAGCGTAACTATTTCACTTGGGAATACATAGATGGATTTATTTAAGATATGGGTAAGAAAGAATGCGATATCCTTTAAATTGTAGCTTTGAAGTAAGTAGCCTTGATCACCATGGCCTCCATTGCCAAAAGAGCAGGCAGGTCGTGTTTCTCGCCACGCCGCGCCGCGCATAACGTCATCAAAGGCCGCTCTCTTGCCTCCGTCAATCTTCCAGCCATTTTGGAGCTAACAGGCATCACTAGAGACGATGGCAAGCGTCAGCAAGATGGGATGTCGTTGATCCCATCGAGGATGAAACGGGCTTTGGTATGAGATTCTATTTGTGTCTCGGACAAGGAAAAAAGCTGGCGCGGCCGCAGAGTAGGCATTAAATAAAAACGGCTCAAATATAAGAAAGAGTCTTTCCTCCAACTTCGATTTTGTTGCCAGGCGCTAATTAAAGATTTAAGTTGGCGTCTGGTAGATAGTACAAGTGACCCCAGAGCTGGTGCGTTCATCGCTCAACAAATAAGTATCGCAATTCAGCGAGGAAATGCTGCCAGCATTAAGGTACACTGCCACAGCGACCAAACTTTTTAAATTTGTTTTAATTTTCTATTTATTAATTTATTATTATTATGTAGATTAAGAAAGTTTTAAATACTGTAAATGTGTGTTATAAAATAATATATTTTAACAAAATAATTGACGTTAGACATCCAAACTGAATACTCAAAATTATTCCAATAATATTGTGAAGTCCATTAACGTTATGTTAAGAATAAACTTCAATCGAAGCCCGGAGCGTCTCACGAAGCGGAGAGAAAATTTGCTAAATTAGAAAAGTTCGAAAGCGTTTCGCGGGTTGAAAAATAGCTTTTTGACTAAAACTAATATTGCCAGAAACAAAACAGTGGAAGTTCTTAACCGCGGGCGGGTTATCCTTTTGGCAACGTCAGCGGTAACGGAATATTGCCTAGTACTCGATTGGCTTTCGACATTCTCCAACCCCGAGATGAGCAATTTATTTTTTTAAAGTTGAGTCACGATGTAACGGCCATTTTAAGTTCAATGTAACCGATGTCAAGATCAGGTAGTGAATAAAAATAACGGCAGAAAGTGTTACCTGAGTTTAATATCACACTTAAACGTTAATTACTATTAATTAAACTAACCTTACTAAGTCCCTCCACCGCTGAAGTGTCTTCAATTAAAGTCGAATTTTAGTCGCAGTTATAAGACACATCTACTTATTCAACAAAAGTCCCACGAAAACAAAAAAATATCTACTGTGTGTATTTACAATTTTTCTTATTTTTTTAACTTTTAATTTTATTTTATTTATGATACACCGTTACACACGATTTACTCACACTTCTAACTTTAATATTATTATTTTTTTCTACTTAATATTATTATTATTTATTTTATTTTATTAGAGGCGCAAACTAGCTGCTGTGGTCTCTGGCAGAATGACCAGCGCTGTGGAACTTTTTGCTCCTCAGCATAATGCTGAGCCAGGGCCAATTACAACCACAGTACACACACATTGCACACTGGAAGCGAACCGAATGGCAAAAGGGATTTTTTTAATTTTTATTGTTTTTGATGTCTTGTTTTATTTTATTTTTTTCTTTAAGTATTGTTATTTTGTGTGTTTATGTGTGTGTTTTCGTTTGTAATAAATGTTATGTCTATGTCTTATGTCTAATTCTTTTAGCAGATATAACTATCTAAGTAAATAAATTATTATTTAATCGTATATTAACGTAAAGAAAACTAAAAAAATCTAAATATATTTTAGAGGTTTGGACAGTAAAAGTCAACTTTTTCTTGTAATTAAGTTATGCTATTTGTACACATTACCTTTAGGACTTTTTGAGTTTGAGTTTGAGTAAGTGTAATACATACTTAAATACTTGTTGTGTTTATTATTTAATTTGAGCCAGCAAACTGCACCAGGACACAGTCCATCTTGTGTTCGTCATCATACTATATATGTTAATATATACCTTAATAATATCTTAGGGTAACATTTAGAAGTACCAAGCTCCTGAAATTCAAAATGTACTTGATTTCGTAAGTCATACTTACCGCAAAGTCTCTTATTCAACAATTTCTAATTCACGTTAAACTTCTAAAAATAACGTTACACAACATTTTTTAAATTGTTGACTTAGTCTCACGAATGTCTCAAGCCGACCATCTCATCGTGGTTAAAGTATACTCGTAAGAAGCCTTCAATATTGCGGTATTTTCAAAGGCTCTGGATGAAAACGGTTTCACGTTGAGTGAACACACTAATGATTAGGTTCCTGTCTGTACGTATGTCAGGATGCAGGTATTGTCCCCTTGGACTCGTTAAACGAGCTTAAAAGCTTTTCGCTGTATTGATTAAAATGCAGTGCATTTTTTACGTTTTTGAAATTGGAATTATTTCGATTCAAAGTACGCAAGTAGAAATAGATTTTAATTATTAAAATAATTATGTAAAGTTGTTGATAGGTCGAATTTTTAGTTTCGCAGCACTGTGGGTTAATTTAAATTAATAAATAAATAAAGTAATAAAAATAATAATAGTTATATTTTTTTTTTATCCATCTGTAATCAGCCTCATGGCTTTTATCAGATTTTATGAGAAATTATAGCAATTAGGGAACGCAAATCCAATAATTAATAAAAGTTATAATAGTTATATAGCTATTATTATTACTAAGTTAATTTCTCTTAAAATCCCTCCACCTTATGGGACAAGATACACAAAATTGTTCCATGTGCCTCGTACGAACTCGAATTACCTCCATAATTCGCCAATGTTTCGGTTTTTAGCTAACTATGACACCAATTATGAGGATATTGATATTTCCACCTCACCAAAGAAGATGTGAGGAAATATTTGAAGAGGCGGGAAGACTTTGATTTTGTTCCTGTAATTTGAAATTATCTGTTGTTTCAAATGTTAAATTTTAGTTTTCTTTCGTTTTTTAATATATTTTTGTGTAATACTGTCCTTACTTGTTTTCTGTTTCATATACATTGTTTATATATGTTATCTGTTTTGGCTTTTTGTATTGTCTAAGTGTTTTGTTTAATAATATGTATGTTAGCTAAAAGATTACTAATAAATAAATAAATAAAAAGTTTTTAGGTAAAAGTTTTACTTCTATTAAGGATTCTTTGGATATTTGTGTTTAAAATTGATTATTATTATAATTGTTTTTTAGCTTAGCTTAAGAGCTCAACACTGTTGTTCCCAGGGCTAAGCCAAGTGAGAACTTTAAAAAAAAATTATATGTTATTCATACTGTATATACTTTTTGTAGGGTTGCTTGATGGTTCAGGATTATTCTAGTGCTAACTGCTATCCTTTATCGATAGTTTGCTAGATAACTTTTAATAGGCTTTCGAGACAAGAAGGTTTCTTAGAAGATTACATTTGCCGTACGCGTAAAGTAAATTGTGCATCTAAACATCATCATTTGTGCACAAATATATTCAGTGTTTAACGTCACTTTGAACCACTTGCGCAACACTCATGCGTTTAAATTTGAATTATTTTATTTAGAAAAGCTTTCCAACGCTCCGCACGCAGATACATGGTTACATAAAGATTAATAAAATACAAGATTTAATGTGACAAGCACTTATTGATTTATAAACTATAAAAACTAAAGGAAACGGAAAATTCAAAGTGTGAGGGGAGTAACTATGGATGGAAAGGCTTAGCTCGTTTCTCTGAATGCTCAATCTGGATCTGGAGTTTTGGCCAAAACGCAGTCTTCTGAAAGGCGTGCAAATGGGATGATGGGATGTCTAGGGTATCTAGACTAAAATTTAGTTAAAAGGTTGAGGCAATCAATCCAATTCATTAATATCTCAAACGCAAACGCAAACTTTTCTACGATTCTCCAATTTCAATCTTAAAGTCTTACATCCTAGTGTAAGTACGCCCTAACCCAGTGTCATCTATTGGCAACTCATTTTTCACACTGGAGAAAAGTAGATGCCAGAATAATATTTTTTTGTAAACGCTCGACTCTTCTTAATTATCCAAATAATCACACGATCATGACGAAGCTTGTGATATTGCAACCTTTAATAAGCACATTCGGAACATGCTGTATACTTTATATATTAAAAAGGCTTAAATTACCAAATATAGCATATATAATAATAAAATAAAATATGTTTATTATAGAATATAAGATACAGGTATCACTTATTCCACGTCATTAAATTTGAATCGGTAGACCTCCCTACTCATCGGCAAAGAAGACAGAGGGTGTAGGCCGAGAGAAAAAGCCGGCTAAAGCCTAAAAAGCTCGGTAGGTACTATCATACAGAATGACTATGGCAAACATAGATAGAAGAAACTAGGAGGGAGATACGGTCCGCTCTTTATTTGTATTAAATTACAATACTGAAATGTGTTGTGAATAAAATTATTTAACATTCATTATATTTCCAGACGAAAACTCTCCATTTAAAATTCAAATGCCATCGAAAACCTTTTACCACGTTATCACCAGACGTCAGATCGAGAGTCATCCAATTACAACCCATCATATCGTCAATCAATTAAACGGCAAATTGGAAGCGATTCAAATGACAAATGAAAAATAAATAAGTGTCTAGAGAATGTATGATAAATCTAAATGACAACGGCTGACACTGAACGTAACCGCGTAGGTATATACTTGCTTATATAAACAAAAAAGGATCAATGTTTTTCATTCGTAATTATTATCTAAATAGTTAGGATTCATTCAAGAAAAATAGTTAAAATAACAAATAATTTACATTTCTGCCCTGCGATTCTGTAACTCACTTTTCGAACTCACACAGCGGATTTGGCATCGACGGTCGCTCTCAAATCAGTCGTGAAGCAGTCATTTTATGATTTGGCATTCTGAAAAGGTGGGAGCTTGTAGTTTATTGATTATTAGAATGCCAAATCATAAAATGACTGCTTCACGACTGATTTGAGAGCGACCGCCGATGCGAAAACCGCTGTGTGAGTTCGAAAAGTGAGTTACAGAATCGCAGGGCAGAAATGTAAATTAAAAACAGTAAACATGCAGTTAGACTGTTAAAGTTGAGTGAGACTTTATATATATATTTAAACATATCACGGCTAATTAAATGTTTAATTTTTTTATTAGCATTTAACTAGTATGTTTTTCATAGCCGCTTTTAGGACAGACTTTTATGTTCTAACTAGTAGGATGATATACAAGGCAACCGTGGAAAGTGAATTGTTGGGTAGACCTTGTCAGACATACCTGGACCAACTCCAGAAGGTACTAGAGAAGGGACAAGTTATGAGTTCCCATAACTGACAAGTATGTATGGTGAATGTCATAAAAGTGGATGAAGTGAGAGAGGCCTACACCCCTTCGGAAAATAGGCTTGAATTTATAAATATAAAAATATGTGCTGTTTTAAAGCTGCTTTGAACTTTCATAAGTTCCGTTTAAATCTCGAAGCCGAAATTGTAGTGCGAACGGATTCAAAAAGTACCATAACTTACGGACACAGGTTCGAAATAGATGCTGGCTGGCGTTTATGATAAGTATTGAATTTATAAGAAGATATAAGATATATGAATTTATAAGAAGAGTGGCGGAGAGTTTATTGCCTGTTCTTCTCTTCCGTTCTACGCCCTTGATTTGAGAACTGGCAGTTAATGTAAAATTAGAAGCATTTAATATGTAATAGTGTTCGCGTTGTCGTATAAACACTATATAAATAATAAAACTTATGTGATCTCAACGATGTATATATTTTCGTAAAAATAAACCGCGGCGTCGGCAGCGAGTTGCACGTGTGTCGCTTAAGAAATCGTGGGCCGTACTGGTGGCGGAGCGCGCTGTGGAATGCGCGTGCTTCGCCCCCGCCTGCCGCGGAGAACAATAGACACGGTCTATACGTAGAAGTTGGTAAGTACATTTTTAATACATAATTTAATTCTTAGTAATTTTTATTGATGTTTTATTTCAGCTACCAATGACGACGAGGACGCCACATCACTCCCCTGCCGAGACCGTTTCACGGTCGATAGTAGTCCGGAAACTTAACTAATCTTCCACTTCTAGTCTTTTTTTCAGGTGGCGGTGCATCGTGATTGGTGTGGAACGGCAGTGCGGTCATCGGTGGACGAATGGTCGTGTCGTATTCTCTGTTTTCTTTCGTAAGGTAAGCTGGTTTTATTCTGTCTATTGTTACTGTAACTTCTTTGCCTTTTATGTCTAATGAAAATGTTTTTGTATTTCTTTTCAGAACTTTATAAGGGCCGGTATATGGTGATTCAAGCGATCGTTTTGCGGGACCACGGCGAAGAAAAACAAACTGTGCAGTATGTATGTCATTCGGCAAATAGAATGTTTTACTGTTGTGGTTTGATGCAGGAGTTGGGGTTAATGCTGCCATATGATTTCTCAAGCGAGCTGTATAGTCTGCTGGATTTAGGTTCTGGTCAAGCGAAGTTGAGAAAAATTGTCCCGGTAGTCGTAGTGGTTCTCCATATACTAGCTCGGCGGCTGATGCCTGCAGATCTTCTTTCCAGGCAGCTCTTATTCCTAGTAGCACTAGGGGTAGTGTTTCAGTCCACTGTGGGTTGTTGTGACAGATGATGGCTGCTTTTAGTTGGCGATGTAATCTCTCCACCATTCCATTGCATTGCGGATGGTATGAGGTGGTGGGACGATGTTCTGCGCCGATCAGGTTGGTGATGCTTTGGAAGAGTTGTGATTGAAATTGTAAGCCTCTGTCTGTTGTTACAGTTTGTGGACATCCATGACGAGATACCCAGTTGGTAATGAACGCGGAAGCACAAGTTTCTGCTGTAATATCCGCTAGTGGATAGCCATCAGGCCAACGTGTGAAGCGGTCTATTGCTGTCAGGCAGTATCTAAAGCCATTAGAGTATGGTAATGGGCCTATAATGTCCAGGTGTACGTGGGCGAAACGTTCTGATGGTACTGGAAAGGTTGTAAATGGTGCGTTCGTATGTCTGTTGACTTTACTTCGTTGGCAGTCTACGCATTCCTTTGCCCAAGTTTTGCAATCGCGTCTTACTCCGGGCCACACAAATCTTTGAGCTACCATTTTAGCAGTGGTAGGGCCGCTTGGATGGCTGAGTTGATGTATGGTTTCAAAAACGCGTTTGCGATAGGCAGGTGTTATGTACGGTCTAGGCGATTTGGTAGAAAAATCGCAGTACAGCTGGTTTTCAGCGATCTGTTTCAGTTGTAGTGCTGTGTTTTTGGTTAGCAAAGCTTGCAATTCAGGGTCTTGAGCCTGATCTCTTGCAAGTGCGTCGTAATTTATAGTGACAATCTCTTCTACACGTGATAGGGCGTCAGCGACGATGTTGTCTTTCCCGGGAATGTATTTTAGATCGGTGGTGAATTGAGATATGTAGTCAAGATAGCGGAATTGTCTTGGAGAGCACTGGCTTCTGTTTGTTGTGAAGGCGTAGGTGATGGGCTTGTGGTCGGTGTAAATGCAAAAGTTTCTTGCTTCCAACATATATTTAAAGTGTTTGATACCTTCGTATATGGCCAGTAGCTCCCTATCGTATGGACTATATTTTTTTTGCGATGTCGTCAGTTTACGAGAGAAAAATCCCAAGGGTTCCCAGTTGCCTTTTCGTTTTTGTTGCAAGACAGCGCCGATGGAGTCGTCTGAAGCATCTGTGAATAAGGCTAGATCCAGGTTGATTTCAGGGTGGACAAGAAGAGTGGCTTGAGATAGGCTGCGCTTGCACTCATTGAAAGCTGTTACAAGGTTAGTCATATCGATAGGTGCATTTCCTTTGATGTTACCTGTTAGGGCATCGTTCAGAGGAGCCTGTATCTTTGCTGCATCAGGGATGAATTTCCGGTAGTAGTTTATCATTCCCAGGAACCGTCGGAGTTGTTTTGCTGTTTTCGGCTGTGGGTAGTTGGTAATTGCTTCCACTTTCTCTTTGAGAGGGCGTATGCCTTCAGTCGAGACGCTGTAGCCGAGGAAAGTTACTTCGTTAATGCCGAATATGGACTTAGAGGTGTTTATTAAGATGCCATACTGGTTAAGTCATTCGAAGACAGTTTTAAGGTGCTGAAGATGGTGTTCTCTGGTCTTCGAGAATACTAGGATGTCGTCAATATACCCATATGTAAATTCCAGGCCTTGAAGAACTTCATCGATGAATCTTTGGAAGGTTTGAGCAGCGTTTCTTAAACCAAAGGTCATATACGGAAATTCGAACAGTCCGAATGGTGTCGTTATGGCTGTTTTAGGTATGTCCTCATTCGCGACAGGTATCTGATTGTAGGCCTTAATCAGGTCAATCTTTGAAAATATTTTAGCTCCAGACAGCTGGTAAACAAAGTCATTAATCTGTCTTATTGGATATCGATCAGGGATGGTTCTGGCATTAAGTGCTCTATAGTCGCCGCATGGTCTCCAACCGTCGTCCTTCTTTTTGGCTAAATGTAAGGGAGACGACCATGGGCTCTCTGATCTACGAGCTGTTCCATTTGCGTACATCTCTTCAAACTCTTTTTTCGCAATAAGCAGTCTATCTGGGGCTAAACGTCTGGGACGAGCTGCGACTGGTGGACCAGGGGTAGTACGTATATGATGCTTCGTTTGGTGCTTGGTTTCTTTTGGCTTTCCAGTAGGTTTCGTTACATCTGGGTAGTTGCGAAGTAAGTCGTGAAAGTCGGAGTTTCCAGCAACTGTTTTGATGGTCACCGTTTCCACAGCAATGTTGGCGCAGCGTGGCGCGTTGACGGACAAACTTGTGAGGCCGTCGATGAGGCGGTGACGACGACAGTCCACTAATAGGTTGTAGTGGCCCAAGAAGTCAACACCAATGATGGGTCGTGTGACGTCCGCAACTACGAATCTCCAGGTGAAGTCCCGGCGAAGTCCGAGGTCCAGGTGTAAGGATATGTAGCCATACGTAGCTATGATAGTGTTGTTGGCAGCGTATAACTCATATTTAGTTTTATGACGCTGGTCTCTGGTCGCCGACTTAGGAAAAACGCAAACGTCAGATCCCGTGTCTATCAAGTACTTCAGTTTAGTTTTCTTTTCGACGATGAAGAGGCGGTCATTAGGAGTATGCGTTAGGCAGTCGTTAGCCGCCACTACAGGCTGCCGTTCGCGTTTAAAGTCTTGTAGGAACAGGGCGTGAGACATTTTATGGCGCCTTCACCGAATTTTCTGTGGTAGTAACACACGCTATTCATTTTGTTTTCCTTCCATCTTTGGGTGGAGCGTGAGTGAGATCTTGATCTGTTATACCTACGTTGTGGTGATCTGCTTGATCGGCTATTATTCATGCTCAGGAAAGCAACTTGCTTGGTTAATTCGTTAACTTGCCTGGCCAAGCTTTCTAAAACGGTGAGGTAGTGGTCTGGAGGATTTCCAGCATGTTGGTTAGCTGAGGACGATGTAGCGGCGTAAACATTTGGTGGGGTTGGGGCTGCGATGGCTATAATTTTGTCAGCCAACTCTGCAACTTTCTCTAGCGGCATATCCATATGCGATGCAATGATAGGTTGAATGTTATTGGG